TCATTTTAAAATGAGTCCAGTCTGAAAAACTTTGTAGAGGTGTGTTCATCCATCTATCATCCATCCATCATCCATCCATCATCCATCCTCCATCCATCCATCATCCATTTATCCATCCACCATCCATCCTTCCATCCTCCATCCATCCATCCATCCATCATCCATCTATTCATCCATCCATCCTTCCATCCTTCCATCCTCCATCCATTCATCCATCCTCCATCCATCCATCCATTCATCCATCGATCTTCCATCCATTCATCCATCGATCTTCCATCCATCCATCCATCCATACATCATCCATCCATACATCATCATCCACCATCCATCCATCCATCCTTCCATCCATCCATCCATCTATCCATCCATCATACATTATCCATCCATCATCCATCCACCATCCATCCATCCATCCATCCATTCATCCATTCATGCATCCCTCCCTCCCAGCTTGATCCCATTCAGATCTGAGATACCACAAGAACTTTTAGAAACAAGCTATAAGTTAAAAAATGATAAATTAACAAAGGACATTATTCAAAAACAAAACAAAACATGCTTTAACCATGTTTTTAGAACAATGTCTACATGTAATATGCTGGCACATGAGTTACTCCATTTGACAAAGTCTGAAAAACACTGTAAATAAATGTGATTTTTCTGTAACGTCACTCATTGCATTTATAAATAGTCAAAACTATATACTGTATGTAAATAGTTATAAAATGTGAAAGTGTTGGCAGTTTAAAAGTATATGAACTGGTTATGAGATGCTATATTTTTTTAAGATCAGAGTTCAATGGAGGTGGCCGCAACTCTCTTTGCTCTGTTAGTTTATCAGGTGTTCCTAACTGGTCCACACAACCCCACTCAACAGATCTGTAGCTTTACCCAACTGAATGAGAGTATCTGTTATGGTTTAAAATAAAGCAAGGCTGAAACACCACTATAAATTTAACTCATTGTCATTTACTATGTATATTTTTCTTCCAGTGCATCTCCACGAGGAGGAAGGGCTGCAGCTGGAAAATCGCCGGCGATGGGAAGATTCAAAAACAAGGCTCTTCAGCTTAGCCTCTCCAAGAAATTCTGGTTATTATCATTCTCTGTTTCTGGTCAGCACTGATTTAGACAAAGGGAGTGGCCTGTGTCAGATTGTGCACCCAGTTAGCTCTTAAATAACACAAGCTGAACAGTAAGCCTTCAGGTTTGCTCCTCTCAGAAACACTGCTCTTCCTTTTGCCAGCTGATTGACGCTGAGCAATAATTTCACTCTTTATCACCTAAAAGGCATCTCAGTGTGTTTGTAAAACCAAGCAGGGAGGGGGGAAATTACAGGCTTGGTTCAGATGATGACAGCTTTCAAGAAATCACTTACAAATGCCCACTTCACAGCACCAAGTCACCGTCCACCAAGGGAAAGGGCCCTGATGCAGCTGAAGGCGGCCGGAAGGGTAAAAGGAGCCTCAGCAACAGCTCGGCGGTGGCAGCTGCCTACATCTCCTTCCTAAATAAACTTTTTGGGCAGGTCAGTTCTGTGGCACAATGCCAATCACCCACACCTACATGATGTCACGTTGCTGCTTTATATAAAGACTTACATAAGCAGAGGACAGACTTACATCAGGTAAATTTATAAAGCTGACATTTCACTTCAACTCCGTGTATTTCAACAACACTTACAATGTTGATATAAACTACACATTATGAACAGTATTTCTYTTCTGTGTCAATATTATGCAAATGCTTTGAGCAGCCAGCAGTAATGCAAACATGCAAAATAGTCACAATAAAACAAAAAAGTGTTTTTTATGTCTCCCTGTCAAAGGGGAAAAGCTGACATATCTTACAAGCGTGGGTATATTTTTTTGATCTCTTCAACCACTTTTAACAAATTGTAATTTAAAATATAAATTTTATTGAAAGCTGTAGAAATTAATCATCAAATTGGCATAAATCTAACTAATGTTTGGAGTCTTATTGTTTCAAGATGGTCGCCACAACCAACTGACCTTAAAAAACACAAAAACATCTAAAAGCAGCTAATTTTACAGCTACCTGGTGTGGTAGTAGCTGAGACTGAATGATCTCCAAAACATTTTTAGCTCTACTAGATCGTGAAAAATATTTGCTTAAGATTCTGTTGATAATTGTTTCTTTTAAATGATGTTTGTCTGTTAGCAAAATACCTCATCGATCACTAGAGAAATGTTAAATATATTAGATCAAGATGACTGTCTCAGAAATTTGACATCACAAAACATAAAAAAGGCTATCATTTTGTCACTATTTAAGATATTGGGCTAAACTTTGGTTTGGTAGTAGATAAGGGTCATTTACAACACATTGCATGAGTTTGCACATGTTTTTTTAATTTATTTTTATGTTTGATCAAAATTTCTGAACATACCGTAAATATAACAATATAAATGTCTGACATGAAAAACAGCAGGGGATATGCATTCATTTAAGTGGTACTACGACTCTGTTCTAAATTCGAAATCACAGTGGTTTAAAAGAGACAACTGCCAACCAATAATTTATGAAAACAGAGTCTTTTTAGGATGAACAATTCTCTTGATGTTTTGTTTCTGGCATGTGAATGTACAACATTCTTTCTGACTTTATCCAGAGAAAAATAATCCAACCAGTAATGAAATCAATGTCTATATAATTTTAACACGTATTCCTAAAAAAATGTCTTATATAAAAATATTTATATTGTTTTCACTTAATCTGTAGCAAGTCTTTTATACTGTCAGCAATCAGTTTTGTCGTGACATTTTGTCGTCTGCAAAAGTCTGCAGTTGTTTGGACGTTAGAGGGTTTTTCACTTTGTACAATTTTTCTGGAGTTGGCACCGAAATCTGCATTTTTTTTGAAACAATCAAAGATCAAACTATTTTAAATAGTGAGGAAAAATGTCTGGTAGCAAACAGCAAGCTCTGCAGCTTTTTTCCAAAATATATGACCATTTTTAGACGTGGTTTTCTTTGTAAAATGTGTGAAACAAAGAAATAAATGAACATATGAGGATACAAATCACAGAATTACCTCAGAACTGGCCTCTTAAAAACATTTTCTTACCATCCTCTGAGACATGTTTATGCCATTTCAAGCCAGAAGAATAAAATTTCCCTGGAAGTCAGAATCTGACATGGAGATGAATAATTCATGGGCCTCCCTGTTATATCCCTACTTTTCAATAACCCAAGCCTCGGAATAAAGAGGAACTGAAATGAGCAGCCTGTGGAAAGAATTTTCTTTTCTCTTAAATATATAGCATGTGTGACAAATTAATGATGGTTGTGTACATTTGAACACAGCTTGTTTTTTTGTTTTTTTTTTGTATTAATTCAGTGCCAACAGAACCCGCAGCTTCTGTTCATTTTGTTTACACATTCTTGTACCGTCCACTCAAACCGATCCTGTTCAGAGCCGAGCTGATAGCTGCTGAGTAAACATTGCCTTTTGTCCTCAGGGAACTTCACATAAAACCTAACGTTAGTACTGTGAAGCCAGAAAATACATGTAATACAAATTCTCATAGATTTTATTTTCTTGTTTTTTGCTTTTAGTTGATGTGCAGGGAACTCGAACCGTCAGGTTAACGATGTAACAATTTTCTGTTAGAGGGGCTGTCAGCATTACAGAAATGAGCAGCTGCAAACAATTTACTAATTTCAAACAAATTTGTTTCTTTTGTCTTGACAAAATCTGAAAATTTAAAACTGCCAAACAAGKTAGATATTGACTGAGTTTTGTGTTGGATAATGTTGTTCTTCTGTGGTGGCCAACTTGGATCAAACTGACTTCAAAAGATAATCAGTTGCAGATGTTTATACTTTCTAAGAACTTCATGAAATGATGTCCAACAATTCAGAACATATTTTGTTAACAGAAACAGACAAACCCAAACATTATCCCTCCATCTTTGTCAAAGTTTTAGCTGTTTTATTAATTTTACTTATTTGCTGATTTTAGCCCATACTTCACCATTCTGTTAGCGACTCAGTTTTTTGATCAATTTTAGCAAACTTATTCAGCAATATTTCAATAACCGTATAATGAGAAACTCAAAATCATGTGAAAGTTTATAAAAACCTCAATCTGCTCAAGTCTTGGCTCCACTCGAACCATCTGTTAGCTTCTCAATTGGGTCTGAAATTAACACCAAACTGAGWTTGTTCAAAATGTTATCTAKAACAGGTAAGATATTAATTGTTCATAACCATTCCACAAAACTTCAGTTTGACAGATTTGCACCATCATTATAACATGTATCATTTTGGTGAGTACCATAAGTTGTTGAAGTCTGGAAATTTTAGGAATTAAGCCTATTTTCATTCATTCAGACAAAATAACGTTTGGCATAATTAGAAATAAAATATAATTAAATTAAATTAAATTAAATTAAATTTAAAAAGAATAACTTTACCTCATGTTTTATAACAATTCAATTGACCTTCATATCTATTTTTCCAGCTTAGTTCTAATAAATGACATATTTTAGAACATAATTTAAATTTTACTGTTTTAAAAGATGTATATGTTTTGTTTTTCCTTGTATTTGCAGATGCATCTATATGTCTCTTAAATTATCATATTTAGTTAAGGTTTTTTTTCACAAGCTTTTATTTCCATGTTTTGCTTTTACATTACTCTGTACCATGTATTAACACTTCGTTATGCATTTCTGCCTCATTATTCAAGTTCTTATTGMGTCAGGAAGGAGCAGYATCCATGTGCATGTGCTGCCTCAGTTTGGCTTAAAGTTTAAGGTTTAGTTAAAAACAGGGCAAGGAGGAAAACACCTACCTGTGCCTTTTATTTTTTTAAGTTAAATTAGTTGATTATCAGTTAAATTATAAAACATGAAGTTAAGTTCGCATTTTTTAATTTAATTGGTGCATTTTAAGTGTATTTATTTGTTTATGGGTCATTTATATGTTTCTGCTTTTATTTCTAATTTTGTGAGATTGGGTCCTCCATACATTTTTTACCATCAGAGGGGTCACATTTAAATTGAGAACTGTTGCCCAAACTAATAATGCTCCATTCTCATTGTATACAACTATTTTTAATGTTGCACATTTTATCTCTACAGTGTGTAAAGAAGCTGGAAACTATGTGATGTAGCGAGAGAGAGGTTAATAACAGAAAGGTTTGAACAGTGAGTCACAGCTGAAAAAAAAAGGTTTTCGTCAAAAGGTCAAGCCCAGCTGAGCAGGAAATTTGACTCATTTTTTGAACATAAATTTAGCAAACAAGCAGCGCCTAATGATTGAAAACACTAGTTGTCGCAGCTGGCTTTCATTCACAAACATCCAACAACATGATTAGTCTTTTCAAAACCCACAATCATTGTAATATAGTGGGTCCAAAAATAACTAAGAGTTCATATTATCACCAARGTCAGGACTTAGCATCTTTTTCCAAGAACGTCAGAACCTTTAATCATCGATCATTTCTCCATCGACCCACTGACTGACTGCATTTCCATTACTGCCACACTAGGCTCAGGTAAAATATTGGTTGTGTTCATGACTGATATCATTATTTCAGATCTCTGCAGCGCATTGCTGAGTAACTGCAAAAATGACAACTGGAAGCGAGCCAACAATCAATATAACCCACCTACTATTTTTACATAAGCAAGATTAAATAATCAAGCACCGTTCCTGAAACACACAGCCTAATACAAAATATTATTATTTGTTTAGACTTTCTAACTTTTGGGCCTGAGTTCTAAGTTGCATAAGGATTAAATTTACCAGATTTATTACTGAGAGGTTGTAAAGTTTACTCAAACTTACCAAAGTTTTATATAAGAACTGATCTGTTAACACTCAGTATATATTAGGGATGATTCGGTCACTTTAGTTGACTTAAAGCCATTTTTACATTTGGTACCTTTTCTTAGCTGTGGTGGCCATCTTGAATGGGATTGACACCAAAATGTAGAGCTGCATCAATGATGACTTTTATAGACAGTTGTGTTTAGATCTGTCCACTAGTTCATGTGACATTTTGCTAATTGTACATTTAAATTAACACACACACACACACACATATTGCCTTTTACATTTAAATGTATATTTTTGTGGAAACTCGCCTGCAACAAGTCAGATCAGGCATCACCCAAAAGACCAACACATAATGTATCATTTGAATTATCTGTGTACATAAATCCTTTTCGAACATGAGTTACATAAAACATAACTGGATTCATCCGTCTGTAGGAGCAACAACATTCAGTCATTCAGACAGAAGTCACTTTTAGGAATAATGGTCCTCTCAGATTCATTAAGACGTGCTGCTGAAACTGCCGCTGAGCGCGACGGTGTGTGCCCAGTGTTTGTCATTTACGCCAGATTAGACAGTTTATCAAATGTCAAACATGACGCAGACATATTTGTTCAGTTTCTGGTCAATTAGCTCAAAATTTAAGAGCAGATGGTCCAAAACAGAGTCTGTCTCCGGGCAGGTGAAAAGTGGGGCACGACAGGAACAGGACCTCAGTCCATC